GAGAGAGAGAGAGAGAGAGAGAGAGAGAGAGAGAGAGAGAGAGAGAGAGAGAGAGAGAGAGATGGAGCGATACAAGATTGGTTGTCACGTACATGTGAAGTCCGCTGTGCAGTCCAACGTAGAAGGAGGAGGCGGCCATAGCCACGGAGCTCGACCGCAGAGTGACGAAGGAGGTGAAAGAGAGGACAGAGGGAGAGATCGAAGAGAGAAGTGAAGTGGAGGAAGAAGAAGGAAGAACCGAGAACAAAAAAAAAAAGAAAAAAAAAAAGAGAAAGACGGGGTGAAGAAGAAAAAGGCGAGGAAGGAGAAAGGAAGGAGAATGGTGGTGAGGAAGGAGAAGACGGCAGCCATAGCTGACCGAAAGAGTTGACCGGAAGAGTTGACCGGGGGAGTTGACCAGACGTTGACCGGACGTTGATGGGAGTTGATCGGGAGTTGACCGGGAGTTAACCGGGAGTTAACCGGGAGTTGATCGGGGGTTGAATGCAACGTTGACCAAGCGTTGACCAGGGTGTTGACCAAGGTTGTCGACCACGACTTTGACCAAGCTAGAGCCGGTATAATATCGCCAAGCCTTCAACTTATCCCCTCGCCCTATGGATGTGCACACACCCTATGGTGCTTGCTGAGTCAAGTCTGTCTGTCTCTTCTGTCCAGGTGATAGGACTCCATGGATGAAGGATAGGGTCTTGTTGACCAAACCCACACGGGCTGAGTAGGGCTAAAGACTGTGTCTGAGGACTCGACTATCCCGGAGGACACGAACCCTCCCAAGGACCGGTACTGACCGACGGGCTGCTCGGTGTGGCACGGTAGGCCCAAAATCGGAGCTATGGGCTGCACAACAGGTCGTCTAAGTCTTGAGAGGATCTGCTGATTGCGTCGTCCTGTCTGCGACGTTAAAGAATTGCTGAGGAGTTACGGGGGATCTCCTTAAATGCCTCCTGATCAGCAACAGGTCCTGTAGTGACAGGATCGTGTCCAGATTCTGTAAGTCCTTAGATTGAGTTAGTAGGTTTTGTCAGTGAGGGGGCAGAGTTTAAGTGGTGAGGAGTGGATCCATTGCTCAGTTGTGCACCTAACACCATGGTTGACACACGTGGAGGGAAGAGTACTACCCCCTATACTCAAGTTGAAGAGGAGTAAGCCGGAGTTATACTGAGAGAGAGAAGGGAGAAGAAGGAGAAGGAGGAGCTCCTCAAGAAAGCGAAGTTGAAGGCGATAGCGGAGGAGCAGGCGGCGAAGAAGAAGAAGTTGGAGGAGGAGATGATCAGATTGCAACAGGAGGAAGAAGAAAAAAGAAGGGCTGCCGAAGAAGCAGCAGCAGAGGAGGAGGAAGAAGAAGAGCCCCTAGAAAGGAGGCGTAGGGAAGAACGGGGAGAAAGTAGTGGCACAAAGTTAGAAGATAAGTGGATGGAGAAGAAGATTAGCGAGTTGGTGGCTAATTTATCGCTAGGAGACGACGAAGGGGCACTGTTGTACGAGCCCTAGGAGGAGAGAGAAGCATTTGCCAGGGAGCTAGAAGCTATGGAGGACCCCCTGAAAAGGAGGGAGGAGGCCAACCAGATGGAAAAGATTCAGGCGTGCAGGCAGGAAGTGCAAGTGCAAGCAGAAACCCCGACCAAGCTAGATAAGATCTTGGGTTATCTGGAAGTATTGAGTCAGGCCTAGCTTGAGGAGCATCAAGCCAATAAGGGTCAAGATGTGACCCTTCATGCCATCCGGTCCGGGTTTAGAGAGTTTGCGCGCGACGTGGTGACCCACGTCGGGACCGAGGTCAAAAGGTTGAAGGAATGCAGGGAAGTTCTGCGCCGACACTGTTGAAGGCGCCAAAGTAGTGTCACAGCAGAGGCCGTGTTGCGTCCCCGCAAAGAGTCTGTTAAGCTCAAATTTCCTGACTCTTATAGCGGGAAAAAGGATGATAATTTTGATAACTGGGAGGCTAGTATTA